AAGTCTTAGAGAAAGATGAGTCATTTATTCCTTCATTTATTTGTCATTTATTTATTGAGTGACAACTATATGTCTGGCCCTGTTCAAAGGAGCAAGATCATACCAGTCAGCAGAACATCACACTTTCCTGCTCTTAGAGCCTTAGAGTCTAGTGGCACAGACAGACAATACATAGGATAAATTGCGAAAATGGATTGTATTTTAGAGTGATAACTGCTAAGAAAAATGTAAAGCAAGAAAGATAAGAAATATCAAGGTGAGGGTGTTGAGATATACGTATATCCACAGGAAAGGCAATATTAGAAAGGTGACGTTTAGGGCATGACCTGAAGGAAGTAACAGTGCAAGTCATACAGATATCTGGAGGAAAAGTAGTGCAGGCTGGGGGAACAGCAAGTGCAAATGCCCTGGGGTAGAAATGCATTCACTGTGTTCAAGGATCAGCAAGGGGGACAGGGTAGCTGAAGCAGAGTGTATGAGGCAAAAGGTAGAAAGATATGAGGTGAGATTAATTAGGAGGGACCAGATCATGCGGGACCTTGTGGATAATTGTTTTTTATCCAGAGTGATGTGGGAACCCACTGGAGGGTTTTGCACAGAGGGGTCAAATGATGAGCTGGCTAAAATTTTTAGCAGGTTATTTCTGGCAGTTTCAAGAGTAGAGGAAAGAAGGAGACCAGTTATAGTAACTCGGGCTATTATTTCCCATTCTTCCTACTTCTATGGGTTATAAGCATACCCCTTTTAAAAATGCGACACCTGAAGTTCAGATCTAAAGTAACTCTTGAGTTTATAGTGTTGGAGCTGCAAATAAAGCCAAGTTGTTTGATGCCAAGACTCTCTACCCTATACCACTCTCTTTCCATATTGGCCTTTTTCAGTCTCAGTCACAGTGAAAGTTCCAAACGTACGTGGTCTGTGGATATACTCAATTGCGTATCATAGCATCAAAACCTGTACAAAGAAATTAAAAATCATTTATTAATCTGTACTGTTTCCTTACATTAGGACCGCTTGGTTTTACATGGATTAAACATTATTGTACATATGATAAGGGAAGTAAAACATTCACAATGAGTGTTTCAGAAATGAAATCCAGTGGGAAAATGGT